TTTGACATGCATAAACGCTGTAAATGGAGTATTCTGAAAGTACATTTGGAGGCCTGAATTGTCTATTTTAGCTAGGTACAATGATGAAATTGCAACGTATTTCAAAATGTTCATAATAATTTTTGTGCTAAGAAATAAACAGCATTATGGTAAGCCTATTTTCTGGGGGTGGGGGACAAGGAACTGATTATATTTAAACATGGATCTTTTGTTTATTTTTATATTTTAGATGATAAGACATTTTATTACCTTGCCTCCTTTCAAGTCACAAATATAAAATACAAAGAAAATTATGGAATAAGAACATCAAGAGAATTTACACAAAGGAGTCTTCAGATTGAGAGGATGGTAAACCCAATACAAATTTTAAAAGTTTATGAATGTGTTTTTCTGCTTCACTTTGAATGTAGTTGTCATAGGAATTTAGCCTCTCTATGCCTCAATTTCTTCTTTTGTAAAAAAAGGGTAATATAGTATATAGGTCATACAGTTTTGTGATTAAATAAGTTAATGTATGTAACATATTTAGAATAATGTCCTGTACCACTAAATGTATGTGGATTAAAGTATGCAACTAATTAATACCTGAGGAAATTGTTGGTTGAAACAGATGTTTCCCTATTTTTCACTCTTTGATTTTCTTTCTTGATTCATTTTTCTAAATCTGTCTTTTTTAAACATAAGAATGTAGGATTGCCAGATTGCCTTATTTTATTTTGCTTTTAAAAGTATGTGAAGGGTCACATGCAAGGATGTGTGTCTTTCATTCTTGATATCAATCTCAAATTTAGTAATGCCCCTCAAATATTTGGTTTCCCTTGAAAACTTATGCTTTATTAAGGCATTTCTGTTTTTTTAAAAAAGAATATTAGGCAAGCTAAATCTTGACCTGTCAGAGCAGAAAGTCAAATAGGATAGTTCTCCATTTTTGGTCTCATGAAGAGCATGTCTGTGAACAACATAGATTTGTTTAGTAAAACCATTATGTTAGCCTAGAGTGTACTTCTTTAACTTATGAGAGCTATTAGGGAAAAAAGAAGTAATGTATCTATNCTTTTTTTACATTTACTCAAATAAAAATAAAATATTTAAAAAACAAAATTCTATTTGAGCATAAAATAAATAAAACATTATACATATTTTCTGAGCCTTGTTTCTACTCAATATTGTTGTAGAAGTCATCCACTTTTTTGTAGATAGCTCTAGCCCATTTATTTTCAGTATTGACTACTAATATTCCATTGCCTTACACATGCTATAATTGATTTCTCTAGTCAAATGTTCATGGACATTTGGGTAGTTCCAAGTTTTAGACATTTAAACAATAGTACTATGAACCTTCTTATGCATGTATCTTTGTACACAAGGGCCAAAGTTTATCTAGGGAACATATGTAGATTGTAGAATTGCTGGGTCCCTGGGCATGCACTTTTTTAACTTTATGGATAATACCAAGCTGTTTTCTATTAGCATGCTATAGGAGTTCCTTTTGTTCCATATATTCACTGACTTTTACTGTTAGCATGGATTTATATATTTGCTAATTTGGTTTACATTACAGTGTTATTATTGCTAATTTGTATTTGCCTGATTACCAGTGATGTTGGACATCTATCCATGTGTTCATTGATCATTTAGATTTTCTGTTTTTGTGAAGTACCTGTTCAAATCTTTTCCCCATTTTTTATTGAGTCACCTGTCTTTTTCTATTGATTTGGGTAGTTCTTTCTATATTCTGAATATAAATATCTATTGTCAGTTGTTATGTGTACATATGTTCTGCCAATGAAAACTATCATGGGAGACAGACAGATAGATAGACAGATGTAGATATAGATATAGATGCCTTCATAATTGTATGAGGGTCTTTTAATATTAATGAGTAAAATCACCAGTTCCATTCACATGAAATATGACATTAACTAGAAAAGTTCAAACGTTGAACATCCCAGTTGTCTGGTTTTTGCTTTTTTAGTTATCTAGAATTATATAGTAAGTTATATTTTTCAACAAATATTTTCATGACCCAGATTAGTTTTTTTTCAGGATTACTTAGGATTACTTATTATATTTTTTGTTATGTTTTAAAAACGAATCTCTTTTATAAAGAGCTACATAAAA